CTACCTCTTGCATATCACAATAAGGAAGCGCTCGCTCCAGGTAGAGCACAGCTGCCAGCGGCACACAAGGTTGTTTTCTTTCTGAGCAAGCCTGCAAACCCTAAAGCCTAAAACTCTAAACCCCTAAACCCCAAACCCTAATAGGCCCTAAACCCAGCAACCCTAAACCTCTAAACCCTAAACCCCTAAACCCTAAACCCCAAACCCTAAGCCGGGTAGCCCAGAGCTCCACCAAAGATGTCGAGCTTGTGCACTCGAAGCTGGCCCAGATGCAGGCCTCTGGCCAGGCCTCCGATTAGTTAGTTAGTTTTTTGTTTAACTAGGCTTAGGAGTTGGTTCAGGGTTTAGGGTTTAAGGGTTTTAGGGTTTAGGGGTTTTAGGGTTTTTTAAGGGTTTAGGGGTTTTAGGGTTTTTTGGGTTTAGGGGTTTAGGATTTGTAGGGGTGTGGAGGGTACAAGGCCAGGAAGGGTTGAAGAGCAAGCTACATTCCAGATGCTAGTAGATGCATCGGTTCACACATGGGTAGCTGTCTAAATTCGGGTTAACCCCAAACCCGAAACCCTAAACCCTAAACCCTACACCCTAAACCCTAAACCCTAAACCCTAAACCTTAACCCCCTAAACCCTAAACACCTTAAACACCCTAAACCCTAAACAACCAGTGGCCATGTTCAAACGCATCAGCCTGAACCTCACTCTCTGAAGCGGCACCGGATGAACGGTTGTAGAGGGGCTAGAGTACGACGGTTGATGATATTAGGGTTTAGGGTTTAGGGTTTAGGGGTTTAGGGTTTAGGGGTTTAGGGTTTAGGGTTTAAGTCTGCAATATACCGTCATTCCGCTAGTTTGGGGTCCTTAAGGTAATGCAGGATGTATATCATCAGGCTAGGTGCGTTGTTATAGACCTGAAGAGCCTCAACATACCCAAATGGTCCAAGAAACAGTATAGTGTATACTTTGGGGGGTCCAAATTCTGCTAAGCCGCTCCTGTATTTTCGTACTTGGACCGTTTAGGAGACAGCTTTCCCCCCAAACCCCAAAACTTAGGGCCTAGAGGGCAGTGGGGGGTTTAAGCTGCAGAAAGGGACCCGGTTAGCACCACTTCGAGGTTCCTGTTGTGGAGATCTCTAGAAAAGTGCCCGACAAGGTCTTTCTAGCGGAAGCTGCTCAAAAGCCCTGTGGACAAACACAGAAGACTTGAAACAACATAACCTTACCCACCACTTTAAGCCTCTACATACCCCAAGATCCCAAACTAAAGCATCAAACTCTCACCCCACCAGCGCTTCCAAAAAGTGCCGAAAGCCCAGTAAAGCTACAAAAATGAACCGCTTATGCCCCTGCAAACCTCAAGCATGAAAGCTCATAGGCCGACCTAAAAACCTGCATCTTAATACTTCGAAAAGAGTCTTGGGGGTTCCTTATTATCATTATAGTATGCCATACCCCCAAACCCTATTCTAGTGATTATAAGGCCCCTATATGAGTTCCTTGTGGCAGCATCTGCTTGAAAGCTCAACCCTAGATCCTAAACCCTAAACCGTAAACCCTAAACCCTAAGCCCTAAACCGAAACCCTAAACCCTAAAATCCTGCATCTGCTTGAGAGGTGCCCGCATCCGATTGCCCTCCTTCTGCTTCTTCAGCAGCGGCCTCAGGCTGCCCAGGAAGGCCTGAGACGGTTGATGATATAAATCCTGCAGTACCTTAAGGACCCTAAACTATGGGAACTATGGTATGTTCCTTATTATGAGTAATATAAATAAATATATATATATATACATATATATATATATATAAGAGTATATATATATATATATATATATATTTATATATATATATATATATATTTATGTATATATATATATTTATATATATATATATAT